TTTTTTTTTTTACATTTTTTCAACTACGAAAGAGAATTCGAAAGGTCTCTCTTCTTTCAGAGAATCATCTCCTCCCTAAGCTTCTCCTTTGGAAAATACGAGAAGTGTCCCACGACGCCTTGAATCTTTTATCTCGACCGGTGCGCGTTGTTCGATGAAATATGAAGCGGGGATTTTGGATGCAACGTTATTTCAGAGACAGCGTCGGTAACGTCGGAATACCAAAGTATCTCTGACAATTTTCAGAATGAAAACACACCGCGGGCATATATCTCTTGCAAAATCATTATTTATCTCTTCTACAAAACGACGTCCGTCTGCATTCCTGCGCGCTCCCCTGTGAACTACAACGTGATCGAATCGTTGAACACAATTGCGTCGTGCACGTCGCGTTACACGCGATTATTTTTAATTATTTTAACGCATTGCGGACCATTAGTTTTTATCGCTCGCGGCCGGGTATATATATGTTTCTCTGTCGAACGGGCACAAAAAGAAGGTTTTACATAAATGCTAGGGGCACGTTTTAAAATTAAATACCTATTTTGAAGTTGTTCATTGCATTTTGAAGTTATTTGTTATACATATTCTTACAAGTTAATACCTCTTTCAAAATATGATACTTTGCGAAATTTTTAATTTCACACAACTTTGTGAAATTAACATGAAGCGGAACTAAACAAAGCTGGCAAATGTAACGTGTCCCTCTTCTCTTACATACTTTGCAAACTTTAGTAGGATATTTTTCTTTTTTTCAATATCATCCTTATAAAGATCAACATCTTCACTTTTAGTTTGGAATATCTGATAAATTGTCAGCAAACGCAACTAGAATTTCTTCACGTTCTTCGTCGCTATTCATGGTTACTAAACACTTATGAAAATCAATTATTTTTATATCAATTTGATATTATTCATCAATTATATATTTTATTTTTGTTTATTTATTTTATTTTTATTTAAATATCAATTATATATTTTATTATTATCAATTTGATATTTTATTTATATTTTATTTTGTTATTATCAATTTGATATTTATATAAATATTAAATATTATATTTATATTTTATTTTATTATTATCAATTTGATATTTTACTTATATTTCATTTTATAATTTTTACTAACCAAGGACAAGAGACTAATCACTTTCAATTCCTTACGTAACTTAATATAAATATGAACAAGTTTAATAATAAAATTTCGTCGAATATGAATATAAATAAAAAAAAAAATAAAATAAAATGATGCTCCATTTATACGAATTAAACGAATTAATCCTGAATTAATATCTTTCACGATATGAGAAATTCTTTTAAAAGCAAAAAATCAATATTCGGATCAATAATGTATTAATAAAAATAATTCTGAAGTGATTCGAATGATTAAAAAAAATTCCTAATATTGAAATCCAAAATTTCATGTATAATTAATATTAATTGGTGTTGGGAGATACATGAACGATCATGGAATTTCGCTGCTCCGCTATAAATAAATGACAACAACGAAAAGCCTTGAGAACAGAAAAAAACACGAGAATACTCGTGATCCGTCCGCAATGCGTTAACATCCAGAATATAAAATTCCAAACGTGTAATACTTGGTTCGAACACTTTGTACGCGAATCCACGTGACGGAACAAAGGAATATCCTTGCGGTTGACGAGAAGTGTTTGAAGAGGGCTTAAAAAAGGATTAGGACCGCCGCGCGTTAAGGGCGAGAGGGGAGGCTTGGCTTTTCCCCTGCCCCCTCCCGAGAGGCAGTTTTTCGCAACAGAGCGAAAGGACGAGGCCGTCGGTGGTGAGGAGACGCCTCTCTCCGAAATCCGATCACGTCCGTACCGTCGGCATTATATGCAGATGCACGCCCGTTTCAAGAGTAGTACGCTTTCCTTTTCCTTTTTTTTCCATTTCCTTCTTTTTCTCTCTTTTTTTCTTTTTTCTTTTCTTTTCTTTTCTTTTCTTTTCTTTTCTCTCTGCCTCTGTCGCAACGTCACCCCTGTTCGGTCGTACGTGAACGTGGCACACACAAGCCCTCTATTGTTTGCTAATGGCCGCTCTTTCAATAATTCGGGGGACCAATCATTACGGGCGAGCGGAGCGCGACGCGGGGAAATCGCTGGAAATAAAATCGAGGGAAAAAAGAGAAGAGAAAAGAAGAGGGGAGGGGGAGGGGTGTGTGTGTGTGTGTGGAAAAAAGGGTGAAACAAACGTTGGAGAAAAGGTAGACGTACCTGCCGCGGCCGACGATGACAAAGACAGGAGCAGCCAGCAGGTCGACGACACCCACACAACGGCGCAGGCAAGCCCACCGTTGCAGAAATCACGGCGCATCCTCAGCGCATCAAGTGATTTGTTTTTTCAATCGGTTGCGCTATATCTGAAATCAGAAGAAGGGGAAGAGGCGATCAGAACGAAGCGATCGTTTTTAGCCAGCGAGAATAATTTCGGATACGCAACGTGGTGTGTTCGACTCGGATTTTTTTTTTTAATTTCATTCTCGGATAATCGCGCCTATCGATCTGACAACACTCGGGGAATGTGCGCGTTCAACGTGACATTTTTAGATTTCAAATTATCGTGACTCGACGTCACCACTTTGTATTGCCAATGTTATTCGAAAATTATTCGGAAGTGAATTTTTTGAAAAATAAATAAGTAAGATTTGTCCTGTACATTTTATATCAGGGTTAATTAATTTATTATAATAATTTAATTATCTCGAAAATAAATGATCTAAATATATATATATATATATAATTTTTTATATATAATACAGTTTTATATATTATTATTTTATATTTAATATAATTTTATATATAATATATATATTATTTATATTATTATATTGTATATATATTTATATTTATATATTTATTATTTAATATATAATATATTTATATATATATAATATTTCTTTTGTGAAACAAAAAAGAATAAATATATCTTTAGAAATTAAATGTTTGTCTGTAATTTATTAATATCTAGCTTCTCTTTTAAATAAATTTAATTTATATAACTGTAGTGTAACCAGCTCCTTACGAAGAGTTAATAAAAGTGGAATTAACGAGAGGGGAAACGAAAGATCGAAACGGTATGAAATTTCAATTGAACGTTGATAAATTGTTGCAACCCCATTTTATTATCGATGCGATCGTTCGACGAGCCACCACGGTATAACAAGTTTTATATATACATATTTCATCGAGTTTCGCCGTTGCTGGAGTATAATCAAAGTAATGGATATTGATTTTTTTTCTAGAGGCTCCTAATTGATTATTGCGAGCAAAAATTATGTGCCCTCGCCGTCCGGAAGCACGAAATGGAGGAGAATAATTTGATAATAATAACAATAGTAATAACAAACGAGATAAAATTAGAACGCACGTGCCAGTTACGAATTTACGTTTCGATCGAGGTCAAACGAGACTTGCTCGCAATCAGAAAGCCAAAACGGGCGGTTTCATAATTAATCGAGCGAGGAAATAATTAATCGGTACCTCCGAAACGTTTCGAGGAGAGAAAGTTGTCGCGCGTGACAGAATCGTGACACCCTCAAGAAAGGAGTAACACATTTCCTCTGTTTCCTTTTTTCCCACAGCGGAGCCCTTGCTATTAAAGTACCTGAAAGTTACGTTTCGCCGTTTCCGTGGCCAATAAAGCCCCGGGATTATAGATCCGTAATGGAAAAAGTTTCTTCTGAAAAACCTGGGCGAGAAGCCGCTCTTGCCAGTCGAAAGCAACAACCGGACAGTTTTTCCATTTCTCTTTGAAGCGACTTCTCTCGCCGAAATTAAAGGAACGAAAGAGGTTCGTTCCGAGCGGAATGATTTAGACGTATATTTCGTCTCGCGAGCGATTGCATTAAGGGATCCAGATCATTTTCAAGTTGCTAATCGATTAATTACGCGTCTCCATCTCGTGTCAAACCAGAGTGATACTTTTCTTGTTCAATTACCTCACGATCGATTCCTAATAAACATGGAGGAGTAATTGCATTGCTTGTGTCCTTTTCTTTTTTTTATTTTACTTTTGTTACCCTCATTTGATAATAAAATAATGATAACGATAAAATAAAAGATTACATATAATAATAAACAATAGTAACAGAATAATAGAAAAATAATAGATAATAATGAAATAATAAGAATAATAATAATAGTAAAATAAAAGATTACGTGTAATAATAAATAATAATGATAGAATAATAGAAAAATAATAGATAATGATAAAATAATAAAAATAATAATAGAATAATAAAAATAACAAACAATAAAATAACAATAATAATAATAAAATAATAATAATAATAAAAAATAATAATAATAATAAAATAATAACAATAATAATAATAAAATAATAATAATAATAATAAAATAAAAAATTTGAAATTCTATCCATCGGATCGATTTACATACTAAATATTCACCGACAAGTGAAATTTGACAAAAAATTACAAAAAACTTAAACTTGAGAACAAATACAGTATGCGTTTTGTACTAATAATGGGATAATTTTTTTTTTTATAAAAATCGGTTCTAAGAGCGAAAACATCCCTCCAAAGTAATCCTGACTATTTTTATCGTGAACACCCGTAAGAGCCACGCTGTAACACTTGTAACGCGACGATCAATACGTTTTTAGATATTCAGAACGGTGACGAGGAGTACATCGTTAATTTATCAGAAATAGTTAATTTCAGCTTCTCTGGCAAAAAGTAGAAACTGCAATTATCACGTGAATTATTGTTAACGCGTACATAAGGAATTCGAATTTAAATAACGCAGCGAATTTAAATACGGGAACATTGATGCAAAAATATGTAAAATTATTGTAGTATATTTGAAGACATGATATTTCGATTATGCTCGCAAAAGGTATACATTCACAGTTCTCTGATTATCTTTTTTCCCCTCCCAGTCTTGCTTGTGCCTCTCAAGCGAAATAATCGATGTGCGCAAAATAATATCGCGAAATGAGAACGAAGAGAGAGAGAGAGAGAGAGAGAGAGAGAGAGAGAGAGAGAGAGAGAAAGGAGAAGAGAGAGACGAACACTTGGAAGAGGGGCTTGAGAAGTTTCTCCATAGACTTAAATTGAATTTTCATGAAAAATTCGAGGCAGATTCCGTATCGTTATTAAAAGAGAGTGGCTCGTTTAAATTTGAGATTAAAGCAAAACACAGCGGCTAGCAGCGGCGGGGTATTAATGTAAGAGACTGCGCCAGGATTCGAGGAGATTTAATAAAGCGTGCGCACACAAAGTGAAGAACGCACTTGAGAGGACGAAAAAGAAACGGTTGGCAGGCGAAAGCGGAGTCCATTACTTCGTCTCGGACGTTCCTTGATATCTAGGAAACTAACGACGACCTAATAATCGAAAACATTCAGAGATACGAACTTCAATTTTAATTAAACGAAAAAAAACATATTTTTATACCTTTTTTTTTTTTATTTTTCTTTACCTTGCTACGATATTTTCTTTGCTATACCGAGTTATCGTCGGTGACTCGTCTGTGCTAAAAATTAAAAGAGGCTCGAATTGTTATCTATCCTTCTTTATTCAATACCCACGAAGTAACAATTACTTTACCATGGATCTGAATTATCGCTTTCCTTTACCTTGCTATTTTCTTTGCTATACCGAGTTATCGTCAGTGACTCGTCTGTGCCAAAAATTAAAAGAGGCTCGAATCGTATTGTTATCTATCTTTTTTATTCAATACCCACGAAGTAACGATTACTTTACCATAGATCTGAATTATCGCTTTGTCGCGGTGACAAAGGGTTAAAAAGACCCCGTGAAAGCTGCTCGAAACTTCCCACGAAAACGAAACATCCACCAGCACTCTCGCGCTCTCACTTTTCAACACTTTTTTAACGGGGGAGGACAACAAATCTCTCGTCCTCTTTTCTTTACGTTTAATCATCTTTTTGCCCCCGGTTGGAAACGGTAGCCGCCACAATGAAAATATCCGCGAGCCGGAGCGGAAGGGGAGGATGGGGAAGCCGAAGAAACGTCTCCGACGTCGAAGTTGTAACGAGGAACAAAGGGAGAGATGAAAAGAAACGAAAACGTCGCCGACAATTCGTAGATCCCGAAGCCGGCTCCAGAGTGGAGAGAGGGAGAGAGGGAGGCTCATGAATAACGGAGAGGAGAACGCATTAGAATATTCTCCGCGGCATAACGAATAAGGAGACATAACTTCCATTGTTATTCCTCCTCCCGCTCGCTCACCCTACCCCCCCCGCCCCTTTTTAAAGAAGAGGATGCCACCATGTTGCACGACCGTGAGTATCGTCCTCGTCACTTTGCCCCAATATTCAGCTCGCGAGTACGTTTCTCCGAGAGAGAGAGAAAGAGAGAGAGTGCCACTTAACGAAACGGTCGTGGAATTAAAAGATTGTTTTCCGTCCGCCCATTAGCAGCGAGGCAACAACGACAAACCGACGGGTCGGCGTTCTTGAACTGGAAAATTAATCGCGAAGACTGCGAGAGACCGAGTTCTATCGTTGGACAACCATGGCGATTACCTCATCCTCGTTGTGACTAATAGACGTATATCGTTATGCTTTTTGTTCGCGGAGGGAGAAGAAGGAATTTTCTCTCAGTGAAGTGTTTCGTTTGTAAATTATGTTGTTTCGTTTTTTTTTTTGTTTTTTTTTTTTTTTTAAANTTTTTTTTTTTTTTTTTTTTTTTTGTGTGAATTTGCATCACCGATTCCTATTTCCATGAGGCTTATTTGTCAGGCGAACATCTGGTGAACAACTGTGGTACAACGAGTGAAATGAGAGGAGAGAAAGAAGGGAAGAGTATTTAAATGACGGATAGTTTGGGGGGGGGGGAAATTCAGTTATACAAATCAGAGGAAAGTAAAGAAGTTTTGATTTATTATTTTGTAAATGAAACGTCGCATTAATCCAGTTTAATAACCTGATAACGTGAAAGAAGAATCCCCATTTTCTCTTCTACTTTTTTTCTTTCAACTCGCGAGGGATGCCCCGCGACCGAGATATTTTCAAGGAAATTTGAAACTTTGCACACGCGTGAAATAGAGTACACCTCTAATTATTATCTAAACTTTACTCATAAGGGCTCAAGGGGGCAGGACAGTGTGACCGAACCTAAAAATTACGTACACTTTCGGAGGGCTAGTAAAGAAAAATTTATATATTTGATTGACATGAACTTTCGTGGTTTCATTTCAACACATTATGAATTATAAAAAGCAAAAAAGAAAAAAAGAGAGGTCTTATTATTTTGTATGTATTTATTTAGCTTTATATTTATCTACTTTATGTAATATATTATATATTATATATTATTTATATTTATCTATTTATCTATTATTATATATTATATATTCTTTATATTTATCTATT